CTGAGGTAATGCTGAATGAAAGCAGTGGACGCAAACAAATGAATCGTAGCTTCAGGCTGGAGTAATATCAGGTGCATCTCTACACCCCGAGGGCTCAACTCCTACACTTCTTAAGTCCCTCCCCCTGAAACAACCTCCTGCAGTTTCACTTAGAGATCAAGCAGAGAACAGGTACTTCCCTCTCAGCAGTGACAGCTACAGCTACCAACAGGGATCACCTTGAAGGTTTCAGACATCTATGTATCTGGTAAGTACATTTCTTTAGAGCATTTTTTTTTTTTCCCAAATAAATTGTATTCATGTTAACATGTAAAAAGTAAATCAGAGGTGTTCGTTTTTCAGCTGTCTCAAAAGCCTAGGTTACTCCTAGCAGGTGCATTTACTGCACCAGTTTAAGCTTTTAAGCTTTCAGCACAAAGTTTCAGCATGAGATGGTAATATTTTCGTTTAAGAGAAAAACTAACTCTTGCAAGTTTTTACAATAATTAACTCTTGTTAGTGAAAAGTGTTTTAAGCACCTTTTTTCATATAGGAAGTTAATGTATTATATTGAAGTATGGCAAAAAGCTGTATTGCTCAAAATTACGTTTAGTCTGCCAACTATTCTTCAGACAGTAGTGTCGGGTTAATCTGAAAAGCTTGTATGAAAATCAGGTACTTCAGTTCAGTTTTGATTTATTATTTTTTCCAGCTTCTGGGAATTTAGCTTCTAGGAATTTTTTTGAGTTATCCTCTCCCTCGTCAATTGAAGTGTATTACGAAATCGAATTATTAACTTAATATTTACAAAGATTTTTATTTCTTATCCATGCTGCCTAACCAAATTATTTAATCGCTGTTTCTGTACTACTTCTCACATGCACACACAGGCACCCGCGTGCGTTCACACACAAGGACGCAGTCTTCTTCGGTTCGTACCTTCAACACACGCTTCCTTTCCACTCCTCATCAACCCACTCCTCTCACCCATGTTTCCTCCTAATTAACAAACAGTTGCGTTAAAATTTATCTTTCAGTTTAAAGGAACTGGAAGTTTAGAAGGGAGTGGTAGTTAATCACTGGAAAATCTCAGCTAGAATAAAACTCACAAATCTCGTTCTTGCAACACTCTAGGTAGGTGACAATGGCATGTCCTTGAGTTATGCAATAATGCCACATCACAATATTTTAATTATAGCATGTCCTTCAAAATGTTCCACCCCAGTGAGTACTCCTGGTCAGAGAGATCAACATCACCAAAAGGATACTGCAATAATAATGGAGTGTGCATGACAAACTGTTACGTAGTTTGCTAAAGCAGTGTCCTAAAAAGAAATGTAATTACCATCCCTGCTTATAATAAGACATTTTGAAATTTCCTCTTTGATCAAATGGGCATCTTAAACAATTTAGACTACTTAAAAACCTAAAAACCAACATGCACATATATATATGTACATATATATGTGTGTGTATGAATACATATGTGCATATATGTGTGTATATGCTTCTACCCACGTACATTTTTGTTTCTGTATTTATACACACACACACACACAATGTTAAACAATACTCGTTTTCGGAACTCGCTAATACGTTCAAGGCAAGGAGGTAGCAACAGCATACTTTTCAAAATAGAAGGAAGAAAACTTGCAGCGCTCAGTCTCAGGTTGGAACGGGCTACAGATTAGAAAGCCGTGAGGAGGTATTACTATTGACAAGAAACAAACAACTAAGACTACCTCAAGTTTAACCAATGCTATCTGAATAACCTGTTTTCAATAAAAATATAAATAAATACGACAACATTTCAAAACTAGAGAATTATAATATATAAACATTTGCATTTCTGAAATCAGATATACAGGAAATAAATTCTCAATCTAAAAAAAAAAAAAGTTACATGAAAATTATTATCCTGCTACCGAAGAATTTTTTCCCATTTTTAACGCATATCACAAGTTATGGCATTCAAGTTTAAGGAAAAAGCAACTACTTATTTTGCTTTTTCTTTCTAATACTAGATTTTAATTTTGGTAGCACAAAACATATATTGTACAACTGTAACATTATTTATATAGAGACAGTTTTAATTAGTTGCACCTATTTTAAACCATTAATGTCTTTTCCAGCTGTATGTGTGGGATCAAATAGTTTTAATTTTTTTTAATTATGAAATATGTACCTCTGCCAGATACTCCTGTGTTTTACTCAGAGATTGGAGGAGAAATTATCCTTCTTGTCTGGCTTTAGAAGTATTTTATTACTGGCTTTTTTAAACCATGAGAAAAAAAAGGATTAAATAGTGAAAGAGAGAAACAGAACATTCATCTGGCTGACACTAGCCTAAGTTTATGAAAGGGTAAAGACCCTTTAAAATAAGCTACTTGTTCTACACCTTGCAAGTCAGAGCAGCAGGTTCTGGGAGCACGACTGTCTGCAGGCTGAGCATGCCATCAAAACAAATTTAAAAAAAAAAAAAAAAAAGCTGTTGTAATTCTCTCCTGCTGTACACATGGCAAAGAAGCTCCGATGCTCTAAATTTCTAACATTAAAACTGCAACAATGCATTTTATCTTATTAAGAAACTATAGTTAATACTCTGTTGAACAGGAATAACTTGAATCAAAGTTAAATACCAAGTACAAAGTTGGGGTGGGGGGGAACAGGACATACAGGAATTTTCATTATTAAGCAAAGGAAAGCTAGCAGAACAAGAAAAATCTAATTAACATCTCCTTATTATAAGTGCTGCACCTGAATGCAAATTCAGACTGTTATCATAAATGGTTCAACTAAGAATGCAGTGGAGTTTTGACAACAATATCTTTTTTTCAAGAATAATTAGTACAAGTACTTCCAAGAAGATATAAAGAACAACAGGTACAAACTGACTCGACCGAGTCCATTACAAACTGTCCACGTTAGTTATACATCATTAGTCAAAAATAAATGCAACAAGCTCACTTAAGGCAGAAAAAAAAGACCAGTTCCCTATCTGAACCTCCTCTCCCACGCCTCAATATTTTTGTTATTATTTTTCTTCAATGTAAAAGCATTATTCTTAATCTTTCAAAGGCATTCTGGCTATCATTGTTTAAAATATTTTTAAATACTATATGATTTTTTTAACTTTATCGAACTACCATTTTAATCAGACTCCAATGACAAGATTTTAACATGCTGCTGTATAATTTTTTTTCATTGTTACAGTATCAGGATCCAACTCAAACAACCAAAAAAAGCTTTGCTAAAACCTGAAAAATAAAAAGCTACTTCTCTACACATTCCTTTTTCTTTAGGCTATTGAACATTTAATCATTTGTTAATTTTAAGAAAAAGCTTGATTGTTTCTTTTACTTACAGACCAGCTTTGCATTTTTCAGAATGCCTTCATCATTACTATTTTAACAAAATTAATATTTCTATGACATCAGAAACAACACTTAAAACAATTTGTTAGAATTACTATACCTGATGAAACAAGCAGCAATTCTGTAGCTTTGCCTTCAGTTTCCATGTGTTGCATGTCATTTTCTGTTAAATAATCTCTGATTTAAGAAATGCAAAACATCTCTACTTTAACTAAAATCTCATAGCATGTAATTACCAGCAATCCTTTTCATAAATTTACTATTTTAATACTACTAATTCAAACTTCTATGTAAAAAGCTTTTTTTAAAAAAAAAAATATAATAATCGAGCTATCTAGTCACTCTTACAATTAGTATTCCTGTAGTTTCGGGTAACACAATAGATACAGTACGTGGTTTTGCAACAGTCATCATTTTGATAATGATGCTTATAGTTCATGATGAAATCATCAGTTTTTAGATCTCTGCCATAACACATCCTATAAAATCATGAGAACTTGACTCTGAGAGTTTCTCACGCCTTCAGAATCAGCGAACATAATGGAACAAGCCGATACAAGCCCTCCTGACTTATCTACTGAGCAAATCATTAGGCTGTATAAAGTATCCACAACCTTAGTTTTTCTGAAGAAAGGGAGATAGATCATTCCCCTATAAATCAATTACTGTCAGACACTTTTTTACCTGAATTAATACACTTGTGTGGCTGTGTTAACTATACGCAATATGTAAAGTGCTACACAGCAGAAGAATGTGAAATGTGTTTATCAAGCAGAAGATTCTATTAGTCAGATATTGCACTACTCATTTCTCTTAATTGAATTAGGAAGAGGAAGAAAATTGGTGTGGTTTTATCCTTCGAGAGATTGGCCACTTTTGAGGTATCCATTGAGATTAGGCTGTTAGGAAATGCCATGCCAGTTAAGAGGGGTTGGTCAATCTCTGAAAGAGCCAAGTCAGCTCCCCAAGTGCACCCAATCCACTCCACCCCCATTTCACCCAAGCAGGAAATTCCCTCTGCTCTCTCCCCAACCGGCCCGACAGGCTTGCCCCATACCCAGCTGCTGCCAGGACCTGCCTCTTCTCATCCTACCCACCTCCACTTCTCTCTCAACAGCTCCACCTAGATTTCTACTTTCATCTTCTGAATGACTGTTCCTTCAGTTTTCAAAGAAAACTCCTTCAAGCGGGTAGCAGCAGCAGGTGACTAGCACTGCTGAAAATCAGGCCGCTTTTGTGACTACGTTTAGGTGCAGAAGGATGTCAAAGTTTAATGCAGGTCTCTCTCAAGTCTGACATCTAGCATTTTTGTTTTGTTTAAAAAAAACCCACAACACGCCATATGTAATGCGAAGGGGAATACAGTTAAAAGAACATATTACTTTGTACTTAGTTCCAATGTTCCACTACAGCTAATTTTAAACTTTGTGTTACAGTTCCTGCACTACCAGTTGCAGAAGTGTTGTTTTCCGGCACCCTCTCTTCCCTGAGACAACACGGGAGTTGGCTTCCTCTCTTCACCTGGGAAGAAGGATTCTAGAAACCTGAAAAACTGGAAACATCAAGAGGCTAAAACTGTGGAGAGCTAACCACAAGAAAGTTTTTACAAAGAACCATTACATTTAATCGTTTAAAGCCCAAGAAAAAATGAGTCTCCTCAAAGAACGTAAACCAAAGAAGCCTCATTACATCCCAAGACCACCAGGAAAGCCATTTAAGTACAAGTGCTTTCAGTGCCCCTTTACTTGCAATGAGAAATCCCATCTTTTCAACCATATGAAGTATGGCCTCTGCAAAAACTCCATTACTTTAGTATCAGAGCAGGATCGCGTTATCAAGTGCCCAAAGACCAGCTCCTTGGAGCCCAAACAGATCAATCAGCTTGAATCTACAGTCAAACCAACTTCTTCTAAATCTGTCACAAATGGACTGTCAAATCTTGATTCAAAGCCTCAATATCCTTTTGCAAAAGAAGACGCCAAGGAAAACGTAGAAGGGCACAACCAGGCAACAAACACGGGAATTCAAGGACAAAAACCTGCGATTCAGAAGGAATTAAGCCCTGCCAGTACTACAACAGAAAGCACTATCAGCATGCAGCCCCTTCTGGACAGCATTGTAAGGCCCTCCGCTTTTGTTCCTGTAGGAGAACACAGAGATAGCAAAGCCCCGGAAACAAGCGAAGTATCTGAAATCATATCGCTCTCTAACAAAAGTTCACCTTTTCACACTAAATCGGCATTTCATGCACCAAGTCACCCATGGAAAGCAGGTTCTCCTTTCCTCCCAGAGTTTCCACATAAAGTTGCTCCCACAAAAGGCTTTGGTTCCATTTCACCTTACATGCAACCGATGATTCCCGAGTACTCACCCCATTTTTATGAGCACAGGCTGGCTATCTACACACCTTACTTGCTTCCAGGTAATTCAGAGTGTGAAAGCTCTGCTCTGTCTGTCTATGGCACACAAGATCAAAGACACTTTCTTCCCCACCCTGGGCCACTTCCAAAACCCATAAATCCCTCAGCATATGAACACTATCGATTGTTCCAACAATATCATTCCACTCCTCCGATACCGTATGGATTTTGTAGGCCAACAGATCCTTCATTTTACAGATTTTCACACATAGCTGGTATTAACAGAGATCAAAATTCTCACCTAATGGAGGAAACTACCTTGCTGTATCCAGCTTCTTTAAGCCCATCCCAACAATACCCTCTAAGTTCACATAAAAAACAAGCAGATTATGAAAAAGAAATGACGTTATTGCATGCCAAAAGTCATTCCAAAGATGACCAAAATGAAAGAGAGAATGCTAAAATGAGCCCTCTCGCTGGAAGTGCGGCAACAGGCTCTCCCGGCAGACCTAGCCCAACCAACTTCACTCAGACAAGCCATGCATGTGAAGGCTTATTTGACCTCTCTAACAAATCATCTTCCACATCACTTGGCAAGTATGATCAACCAGAAGAAAACTTCACAGCTTTCAGACCTGTGAGAAAAAGCACTGATCAACCAACTCTACTTCAAAGTGTGCAGACACAGCAAGAGAGAGGAGATTCACCTACCAGGTAAAATAATAAAAATCACTTTGCAAATTCTTGTCAGATTTACTAGGGACAAACAGAGATAGATGGACACACTTAATGCAATGCCCCTAAAATATATTTAAATTTACAGCATTGAGGTATTTGTTCTATATTAACTGTGCAAAGCACAGTACAACTCGCAGTTGCTATAGCGAGTAGACCACTCATTCTCCTGAACTGTATCAGTTATTTCCAATACCATTACTATGCACGTGTCTGTGTATTTCAGCAAATTACCTGTATTACAGCGATGTGTATGGTGAAAGGGACTTGGGGGAGTTAAAGGAGAAGCAACTAAATTGTGAGACTTCTAGACAGATTTTTTTTTTCTTTTCTTCCTCAGCCCCAACTTAAAAGAGCAACTGATAGTCAATTCTCTTTTCTCCTCATTTCTTTCAGCATTAACGTCACTGATGAAGATTCACATACACAGAATGAAAACCGTAACAATGAAGGCTCGCTGTCCAACACGGAAGATGACACAGGGATAGTTCCCCTTAATCTTTCAAAAAAGGCTGACACAAACACAGGACCTATTCATGAGCACGCATACAAAACCACATCCAAAACAGAAAGTCAGAACTTTCTAGATTTGCAAGACATGCCTCTGAACCTCTCGGTAAAAGATTCCTGTAACACAGCAAGCCTGAAAACATCGTTCCACAGTCCATCTCACGACAATGGTGCTGCTACTGCTCCAAACACCGAAAACGAAACCTCTGGAGCAGATGCGTGTAACCCCAAGAACCCTATAAACAGTGCCTGCGACAAATCTTCTTTCACAGCTCACTGTAATGAAGCTCAAGACTTAAGAATAATTGACAGCTGTGATGAACAGAAACAAACAGCAGCTGTAGCTCTCTGTCAGCTAGCTGCATACAGCCCGAGCAAAGTTAGAATGGACAACGAAGGGCAGAGTCCGCAGGACAGTAATGCTTCATGTACAGAAGCTACTCTTAATTCTTCTGATACTCAGGATACACAATGCAATCAAAAAGTAAAAGGACAGAAAAGGACAAATCAAAAAGAATCAGCAAAATCACAGCAAGGCACTAAAAGAGTAAGGCCAAATGACTGTAGCAGAGTCTTCACTTTAAGGAAGAGAACAAGAGTATCTTAATACTTCACTTTCCAGTGAGTTTCTGGTCATGGAAACTAGTTACCACCACCATCATAAAATATCTACAAACTGCCTCGTATTGGGTTTGGTCCATGACAAGATACATTCAATCTCTCCCATGTAAATAATGTTCATAATTTTATATTAATATTTTTAAGTAACTGAACTTTCCCTTGTATAAGCTCAGATTTTGATGAGTGAATTTTTGCATTCATTACTAAAGCCAAAGTACAGTAGATGAATCTTTAAGGTTTTTTGCAATTGTATTAATGTAAAATAACTTTTACAACTTTTCTTAAAAGATGTTTAAGATCTAGAAACAGTATTGTTCAATAACATACTGTCATAGTCTTTTTCAGACTTAATTTCATTTAATAGGTTTTGTCTTTTTTTCTTTGAAAAACTTTTTATTTCACTGTGCAGTAGTTTAAAGAAGCTTAAGATTAAACCCGGCTATTTAGAATTTACTGTAAAAAGTGGTTTGTGTACGAATGCACTTTGCCATTATGCCACAATACAAAACAACAGACCAAATTTTGTTACTCAGAGGCAGACACCAATTTAAACAAACTGAACCAAACCTTGTATAAGCAAGCTTTTCTTATGTCAACTAAGAGCAAGATTCGAGTTAAACCAAAGAAAGCCTGCACCAAATTAACAAATGTGGTTTATGTTCACCTTTAACTGAACCACTGTGAAAACAATACTGAAAATTTGAAGATCTAAACAATTTAGGTGCCTGATCCTCTGAGGTTAGATAGATACTGAGCGACCTTTAAACTCCAAGCCTAAAAGGTTATTTATATAATTTATTTCACCTGAGGCAAACTCTCCTGGTGAAGGTCTTATTTCAGTATCCATGTATCACTTAATTATCAGTTTTAGTGTGCTTCTACATACATCCTAAGACTATTTTCTGCTTCTATAACTGTGTATATAAACTTGCAATTTTTCAAATAAATCTGTGTCCTGTACTTAAAACATATGGAAAGTGATTAATGAACACAAATACATTCACTACGCTATCAGTAACATATATTTTGAAGAAAAACTGACAAAGAAATTGGTAGCTAAATTTTAAATTTACAAGTAGAATTTGGCATGGAATACCAATCAACTCTTAAAAAAGGAGCTTCCTTCAGAGAAGGAAGTTCATTATGCAGATTAATTCAGGATACTCAGTGCAATCAAAAAGTAAAAGGACAAAAAAAGGACTTTAGCTCCATATGACAAACCTCAGAATTGCCTCTGCCTTAAAGCTGCTCTCCAGCTTATCCAAACTTCTACAAAAGTTTAACTAAAATAAGGCTGTTCCACTGTATAAACACCCCGGGTAAATTTACACAGTATGCACTATCAATCTAAGTAAAACAAACTCAGACTAAGTATTATTCACCTGAAACTATGGGTATACATTTCTCATTGGTTCATTAGTCGGATAAGAGACATCCTCACCTGCCTAAACATTAGTAATAGATATAACCCTATGTAAGGAAGCAGAGCTGCATCCAGTGCAATGTAAACTTCCCAGAATTTTTTTCTATTTTTTTTTGTGCTATGGTGTTTTGAGCTAACAGCTCAGCCAGAGCATTGTAAGAAGTTTCCCATTAAACAGTACATTACAGGGGCTAATTTTCTGAGCTAAAATACAAACAAAAAAAAGAGAGTAATGACATTGATCTTTAAATAAATCTTTCATAGAGAAAAGCTTTTCCTAGATTATCAAAAGACAAGAATATCAATCTGAGTTTGATCAAAAGGAATATGGTAACAGAAAAAGTCCAATTAACCCAAATTACGACAGCAAGGCGTAAGAAAGTATGATGTATCAAGCTGTACATCAGCAACATGATGAAACAAGGAGAAAGAGCTTCTTTCTAGACCAATTTTAAAGCTTCAAGCTTAGGGACTTATGCTACCAAATTCATAATTCCCAAACATGAAATTACAGAGTCCAGTGTCGGCACTGCTGGTTTCAAACTACATTAAGCTATTTGCCTCGTTAATCTCTGGAAGCAGAAAGTTTCATAGTTCCCCTTATCCATAATTTAAAAAAGAATCTTATGTATCTCTTTTATTGTTAATTTGAATTTCTGTAAGTCAACAAGGAAAAGCTTTTTGGTGGTTTTCCATACAATTCAAGGATTTATTCTTCACGATTTCTACACAAATATTGTTCATAAAAACAAGCTCCAATGGTGAAGTCTACCTCACCTCCATTCCTCAAATTAAATAAAAACTGGGCTGAAGGGAACCATGGAAGTTAACTACTCAAACAGCTCTCCATACCTTGATTAACTTGATTTCTGTCCTTCCTAACACAAATCTTTCTAACTCAGTGTCCGTAAACAAATTATTCTAGGCCTCCAGTTCCTTTAGAATAAGAAAATCAGTCCTAATGCTTATCTAGCTATTCTCTTGCTGCAAATGATACCCATTACCTGTAGTCTTGTTCTGGTCACTGAAAATAGTCAAAGTAAAGGTCAAAAGTACATGTCAAAAGTAAAGGTTTTCTTTTAAGAGAATAAGCTTTCAGCTTTGTCTTCTCTCAACCAAATAACCTTAGCTCTCAAGATAGTCTCCAATTAGGTTTCTCACCCATTTTCTTATACAACGACTGTCAGAATTCTTGGTACTGTTTTATTAAGAAACTTCCAATTCCTATAAAAGTTTTTGTGCCTATCTCCTTCGCAGAAAGACCTTGCTGTCATGATTGTTTTTTCTTTCCCTTCCTCCCCTATCTTAGCTTTATAATCTTCTGCCCAGTATCAGAAGGCTACGTCTTATGCAATCTGGCAAACTAAAACTTTGCATATAAACCTACGTATATTAAAATCATCTTCACAGGCAGCAATATATTTTCACTGCACCTCTGCAGAAAAAGAAGGGTGTGAAGGATACTGCTATCATCCCCATTCTACGTATAGAAAAACTCAATCTAAAAAGTGGAGAGAGATGGTTTCAGAGCACAGGTCAAATCACTGGCAGAGTTAGGATTCATTCATGTCTTCTGCAGTCCTATACAGTACCAAACTTGCATGAAACTTCCAGTTTAGATCAAAAAAAAAAAAAAAAAAAAAATCTACTACATGAGTCTATCCTGATTCCTTGATAGAGGTGTCATTTTTATTAGAACTAAAATAGAGGCTTACCTTTGGATGACTTCCCATTCTTAAACTTTGGGGGTTTTTTAATCTTTATTATACAAGGGCAGAAATAATTAGAAAAGGGAAACCAACTGAAGATAGCTGCACAGAAATTCTGACATGCAAAACAGATATTGTACTGGACATGAACTCTTTTCATGGATACAGAATAATAAACTGTATTAAATATCATATTTTACAGTTTCTTCTAGAACAAGTCAACAGATTTTCAGCATAGAACACATTTGGCAACCAAATTTACTAGAACGAAACACTAGTTTTGAAACATTTTTGAAAATTAGTGTTCAACTTCTCTGTTCAACACAGGAGTACCAGACGAGATCAAAAGAACCACCTAGCCCAAGATATTGCTGTAAAAGTGCCCAGTAGTGGGTGTGTACTACTACATTATGCTTTTGTCATTTCAACTCTATAAAAAATTGACCAAAATCACAAAACAGAGAACTAGTACTTTCACATAGCTCTGTACTTCAATGTATGTTGATACATACAGAGCACACAAAGAAACAATTCCTCTGCCCTGTTAGTTTTCTTTCCATCCTGATATTTCAACAGCTCATTAAACACTTAAACAGTTCATTGTATAAATTACGTGAAATTTGCCTCTGAAATTTAATCAGAAACAAACCACATAAGCCACTAGCTTTTAAGTGCAAGTTAGTCATCAATTATTTAATATATTCTATTTAAATAATGACACTGACACAATATAGAGACATACAGAATTATTTTTATACAACTGTACAAAGAAACATGGAAGGGAGGAAGAAAGAAGAAACCCCCAAGAAACTAACTTCATTTTGGAAAGAAAAATTTATTAAATATAAAAGAGGCACACCCAAGTCAATGCTTTTGTCAGAAGCATCTTAAATATCCCCATAGGCATACTTTTTACTCTAGAATTCAATACTACACTCATTATTCAGCACACTCAACATCTGCACATGCCAGTCTATTGCCACACATCCAAGCTCTGATACTATAAATTGTTAATTCATGAACTTACTAATATTCAGCAACTACAACTCACCATCTGAAATTCGGGAAGGGAGTAACAATCCTCTTCTGCCTAATTCAGCCAGAGCCAGGCATCCACCATGCCATGCGTTGTCTGTTTCCTGGAAACTAATATTAGAACAAAGACAGGCTTTGTTAAGACTAGCCTTCCCTTTTTGGATTTAATTTTTCATGGTGAATTCCTAACGTCTTAAGACACATAATCGAAACGAGCATGTGTTTATCGTGTTATTAATCCTGGTAGACTTCTAAAATATACAAATGACAAGTTGAACATGTTTTCTTTCGCATTTTGTGCAACATAAATACTGCTATAAACATGACCAAATAAGCAAAACCCCCATTTATCAATATAAATGTAACCTCAATACAGAAGAGTACAATACCTGAAACTCATCCAGAAAAGGATAACAACTTCCTAGTACACTGGCAAAAGATGCAGATTTACAGAACACACCCAAAATAACTAATGAACTTAGTGCAAAGACAGTCCTTAACTAGCAAAAGAAGTTCAAGTGACAGTTTCCAATAAACACATTATACAAGCTTAGGCAGTAAGCAAACAGTGGTGTTTATCCACCTTTAAAAAAAACAAAACAGAGCAACTTGTAGCGAACACAGCAAAAAATATCAAAAATGGTACACAAGTTTTGGTGGACTGGCAGATAAAGGAGTGAAAAGGGGAAAGGTTGCACACTGCATGACTAAATATGCAAAAAGTTCACTTTGTATTAAACTACAAATAGGAATCTAAGAATAAAACGTTGAACAGACAGACCAGGCCATATCAAAGCTTCATCTCTCCCAGTATCCTGTCTTTGACATGGCCCAATAGCTGGTGCTTGGCCAAAGACAAAGCATAAAGGATCATTCCCTTATTAGCCTCCTCCTAGCTTTGTCAATCAGCAGTACGAAGACTTCCCAAGCCAGAGGTTGCAGCCAGAATGTCATATTTAATAACCTCTGATGGGACTCTCTTCCATTAATTTGTATAATCCCTTTTTGAACTACCTTTACGCTTCTGGCTTCCATAACATCCTGTGGCAATGATTTCCACAGTTTAATTATAATTGTGTGAAAATGTACTTCCTGATGCTTCCCAGTTCTTGCATTATGAGAAAGAGTGAATAGTAAACAATTACTCACTTTCCCTCTTTCTTTCATATTTATGATTTTATTTATCACCATTACATCCCTCTACTTTTTCTTTCCACTTGGAAGAAACCCATTCAGTTAAATCACTTCTCAGTGATTCAGTTTTGTTATCCCTTCCTTTCCTAATAATATCTAATGTTCCATTCACCTTCTTTTTTCTGACAGCTGCTGAGCACTCCACTGACATTTTGACAGAACTGTCAGTGACTTCAAGATCTCTTTCCTGAGTCATAATAACTGCATTTTTCCCCAGATGCATTAGTTTGCACTCACTAGACATTATATTTCATATGTCATTTCCTGCCTAGTTACTTAACTCAGGCTTATACAACATTTTTATTC